TTTCGTTTTCTATTTTTCTGAGAAAATGGGAGGGATTTATACGATCGGCTTGAGTCTAACTCTGGTTTGAAAACAAGGGAAGTGTATTTACGTCAAAACTGTATTAGCATGTATAAAAGTTCATGTGTCTGATGATCATAGACATTCAACTCATGCCATAGTCTGTGGCTTTTGACCTTGATATTCTTCATGGAGAGAAAAATTGTGTTAAAAATTACTCCTGAGTTTTAGAAATTGCGGAGATGGTCAGCAATTTTTATCAGAATTCTTGTGAAGATAATTTTAACGAAAATTCCAATATAAAAAAAAAAGAAGAATTGAAAAAAAATTATAATTTTATCAGAACTTGAACATTTCGATTAAAAATTCCTCAAAAATATCATTAATTCATCACATTATCCTCTAGACATCAGACAAAGTTTCTAAAAGATAAATATAAGTATAAAAAAAAGAGAAAAATTCTGTTATAAATGATCCCTGAATTTAAGTAACTGTGGAGATGTTCAGTAATTTTTATCGGAATTCCTGTGAAAAATGCGATATATTCAACAAAAATTTTAGTATAAAAAAAAGGATTAAAAAAAAATATTGTCAGAACTTTAACATTTCACTGAAAACATTTCGATTACATTTTCCTCCAGACAGCAAGCTAATTCTCTAAAAGATGAATATAATTACTACAGCAGTAAAAAATAATTCAACAATTAGCTAAAAAATCAAATATGAAAAAAAAAATTGAAAACAATCATAATTTTCTCCAAACTTCAATATTTCGATTAAAAATTTCGCAGAAATATCATTAATTTATGATTAATGAATTTTACACAATGAATGAACAGCATAACAATGAAAAACTCGAAAAATAATTTCACAAATTAATGACAAAAAATACAAAAAAATAATAGAAACCATCGACGTTCAATGACTCGACAAATTTCCGTTCCATGCGAGCAGATCTGATCAAATTCATCTTCCGAAATGTAAAAAAAAATTCAACCGGCTCCTCCCACCCAGAATAATCGATTAAATTCCCCCTAAAATTCTACTTTTAATTCTCAAAGAGAAATTGAAGGTGAAATGAAGCGTTGGGAATAGCCGTGAATGCTGGGAAAGAGGCTGAGGAACGGTACTTGCAGTCAAAAACTGTCTCCTCATCGCACGAATGAGACGAGAGCAGGTGCTACTTTACGGGATAGAAAATTTGCCTACTATATCCGTCTAAGAGCCCGTAAAATAAAATTGTTGCAGTGAATCGAATAAAAACCGTAATGCTCTTGTTAACAGTCGAAAACAATTTCTATTATGCGATAGTAAACCTAGATATTTCTGCATTCCAAGGTCTAATCCTGTCTAGAATATTTCCAGGTGGTGATAAAATACAGCTCTCGCTCCACGGAAGGGACATACAATATCCCATTGACATATTTATTTCGTAAAAACATATCTTTCAAGATATATTTGTTGCAAAATAAATTTTTGTCGGACGTACAAAAAAATTGAGCGCATTCGAATGGCGTTTTGATGCGTTTTTAGTCGTATATTTACTTCCATGGGGGTGTCGTACCCTATCGAACCGAAAAACCGCCCTTATCCAGCCTCCAGATGTCGTTGGGAGTGTCTCCAGTCGAAATAATCCTCGTGCCCCACCCGGTGTCATCAGACAAATAATCGAATGACTGTGGTATTATGAATTGTCAATTTTCTTGTGCACTGGAAACTCCGAGAGACGAGGGAGGGGATGATCGAGTGATTTATCGACTTGAAATTGCTAATGTTTAGGTAGTAGAGACAGTCCGTACCCAATCAGCCGGCCAGTTTGTGCGTTCAGTAGCGCTACTGAGGTGACGAGATTATTTTGCAAAAGCTCGGGCTTTCGCTGTGGATAAGGAAGAGCGCGGAAAAAAATATACTTGAATCAAGTATATTTTATAGTCAATTGGGGAATGGGTATTTCAATTCGAAGATGATTGTTTTGTGTCAGGCCGGACTGTAGCGAGCCCTCCTAAGTGTAATATAAGGGTCAGAAAATAAGGGTCAAAAAGTGGAGGTTAAAAAATGAGGGTCAGAGTATTAGGGTCTAAACATTAGGGTCAGAATATAAAAGTAAAAAAAGTGGGTGTCAGGCAATGAGGGTCTAAATATAAGTCATATATTATGCTTGATCACCGTTTTTAACCCTTATATGACCCTCATTGCCTGACACCCACTTTTTTGACTTTTATATTCTGACCCTTAGTTTTTCACTCTAATATTCCGACCCATTCCATTTTTTAACCTACACTTTTTGACCCTTATATTCTCACACTCAGTGTCTGACCCTTATATTACACTTGAGAGGGCTCGGTACCACCCGGGCTGATTCGAAATAATCATCCTCGAATTGAAATACCCATCCCCCATTCGAGTATATTTTTTTTCGTGAGCCGATCGGAATATCAGGAGTATTTATTTTGAATTTATGAAATGTTGCTCAACATGTTTTAAAAAAATATCAATTCAATTCATTGCGTTTTCGTCTGGAGAAAATAACTTTTTCTATTCTATTTATTATTCACTGAAATATTCGATTACGTTTCACGTCATTTTGGTTTTATAGGCACGAATGAATTAACAGTATTTAGTCGGCCGGAATAATCAATTTGAAGCGATGGTTGTGGACGTATTTCCTCACGGGTATTATTATTCAAAGTGATTTTGATATTTATCTCAGATTTTATAAGTAAAATGATAATTGTACATAATTTTCACCCGAACTCTAAAATGACGAGTTTTCAATCTTCAATAACTCGGAATCGGCAGAGTGAAATTTTCGATTTTTCATTCAGTTTCAAGATATTTTTTTGATCTTCAAAACGAGCTGTGACTCATTCAAATCGTATCATTCGTTCGCGAGATATTGGGGATTGAAGATGAGCCGTTTTACCTCACCTTTCACTCGCAAAAAAATTAGTTTAACATTAACGACATTGCAGATAATTTAGTTTTTATTCGTCAGGAGTTGTTTTCATTCTCAAGCCCATTACAATAGCTGTTGTTCGACTATTTATTCATAACACATGAACGGAATTTGAATAAAAAATTCGAGTGCAACTCAAAGCAAAAACATCACTTATTAAGATTGTTAGTTTTCACTTCAATTCCAAACATTAGTGCTGTCTAAACCAGTGTCTTCACTCATTAATATTTACACTCACTCAAAGGAACCTCTTAATATCTCCTAGCCGGCAAACGCCTCAGGGATACGTTGAATTGAGGTCTGATTTGAACGGCACATGCTCAGGGGAAATGTAGGCAATACTCCTGAATATCGAAGTCCTCACCGAATCGTGAGGATGAGGCTGAAGGTCAAGTTTACGAGTATCATTATCATTATAACATACTTGTCGTTAGAAAGTCGTCAATGTATTTCGTCTTCTACGATTTACATAGAAGCACAGAAGGCCCTTTAAGTCGTTTAAAACGTGATAATGAAAAACGAATGGTTTTTTTTTGTCATTTCGCAACCGTTAAATTACTTCATCAATATGTGAATTGGTTCATATGTATAATTAACCCTAAAAGCGAAGAACGAAATGATTCTGTAAAGACAGTGCGCCAGGGGAAAGTTCTGTTTGATTGTTCCTGACAAACCGAAACACTATTATTTAGAGGAGTAAGATGTCGATAGAAATTTTGAAACAAAATAATGAAATGAAAATCAAAGACAAGTTTGGAAAGACGGAGTGGATATGAGGCCATTTCTGTGGGCGTAATTTTCTGAGCATTCGCTTCATATAAAAAATGGAGAAAGTAAGGCGATTTTCATGAGAACAATCGTCATGCGTCGAATTTTCATGAAGCCCGATTATCAAGCAAAAGAGAATTGAATACCATTCTATGAAACACGAATGAACGAATCATAATTGTCCAAATCAGTTAGGTCAGAGGAAAATAGAATAATTCAACTTTCTTAATATTGCGTTTACTAAGGTTTTCTTCGAACAAAGTTGATTAGAATCGCTAGAATTATGAGATTATCTCACATTTTTGACGTTAAGAATAGGAGAATCTGAATGCAATATAGTGAAAATGATGATCGATTTTTTCACTTTGAACGAATAATATTAATATCCAAATACAAAATTTCTGATGTGAATAAAAAGAAGCTGCGACTCAATATTCCTAATGAAGTTTTAATTTTTAATTTGGTGCTGATAACACGAGATGACAATATTCTAAGCACGGAATTATATTGATGAGATGAACAACAGATTAATTGAATTTCCGTGTGAACTGACTAATAAATTGATAAGAGTGTGGGCACGCACTTTTACCAGAGTATCAGCAAACATTGAATTTCAGAAATTCACACTCTAAAGTGTGTTCTAGAAGGAATTGAATTGTAATTATGATTAAAATTTTATTCAGTGAGCACAGGAATTAGAACATGAGCAAATCATTTATTGTCATATGAAAATTTAACAGCTCATAAATTGGGACAAATGATTCTCATCGGTCGTATTGCTTTTTGCAGTAAGAAATACCGAATCTGACGGGAAAAACGGCATAATAAAAGGACATTAAGGCGCTCGCGTGTATAAAATTCGCTGCGCGCGGTTAGTTTATGGACGGACGGAGTGAAAACTTTTTCTTGGTCGATACGCTACCGCGTATCTCGATTCCTTTCATTCAGTCGAGTTTAATCGCAGTCGGCAAGTGCTAGTCGGTAATCGGTAATAAGGAAATCTGCAGAAGCTACTGCGGATAATTTTTCCTTCAGTACGTTTTTTTGCTTTTATTTTTATTCGTGACTTTTCGTTTATTATTCCAGGAAATAATGGGATATTTATCGTTATTGACTGATGATTTCATTTGAAACTCTTCGAAAATCGACGTTTGTATCGAGTTTTTGTTTGCGCAGCCGCTGACAAGAAATTGAAATTTGTAAGAACCGACGGAAGTGCCCGCGCATACACGTAACATGCGGCACTTTTATGAAGTTTAAACAAAACTAACTCGGGTGTTTCAATTGACGTGATCCGTTGTCACACGTTCTCCGTTCCCCCTATAATTTCCCATTCTACGTGAAAAAATAAGAAAACAGTGAATTACAGAGTTTTTAATTCCAGTGTTAACTATATTACAAGAAATATGGACGAATGAAGATTTTCATCTGCAATTAACAATTACTCCAAAGGTAAGTCAAATCAATAAATTAATTAATGTATAAAAATTGAAAAAAACATTATTTCCTCAATTTTTTATGCCGTTCAGAACTTTATTTCAATAACATAATTCTTATTAAATAGATTCCTTCAACATTTCTTTCATTATTCTATTTTTTCTCTTTTATTCGTTCAAATATATCAAATTCCACTGGATTGCGCAATAATCCATCACAAAATTCTATAAATCCATTTTTTCCTCACTTTCATTTCATTTCATTTCGTTTTTATTTCATGGAAACCCAACAGGACGGCCAATTACAGGATCAATTTAAATAAACGTAAAGTGTAGTAACGAAATTAATACTCACGACGGAAAACATTATTTATATATCTTAGGGGAAGTTGGGGTAAAACGGACACTTTTCACTTTTTAAAAAATGTTAATGAGGGGTTGAAATGTTGATGAAACTTAATAATTTTTTTTTTTACAAAGAACAATTATTTCCCTTTGTGACGAGCCTAAACTGAGTTCAATTGATAAATTTGTTTCTGAGTTATGAGTAATTTGAAAAAAGTCCAGAGTGTCCATTTTACCCCATCTTCCCCTATACTATAAAATTTAAATCGACGCATTTAGCTCTACAACTCTGAACTATCTTCCAATACGAGTTAACAGAGTTCAATCAGTTCAACCTCTCGTCCCACAAATAATTCATTCACAAATCATATCGCCGCGCCTGATTTATTTTAATTAGACCCATTTGTCATGTCATTTGTCCCGATAAATAATGCAAATTATCAATTTATCAAATAATCAATTAATGAAATGTACTGAATAGAGATACCAACAATGCGACAACCTACACTGAGAAAAAAAAATATTTTTGCCAAATATCCATTTACTTGAGGGAAGAATTTATTTTTTCAATACCGTATTACTCCATTCGAGCCATTCTCAGGCAATTCTCATTAGGTTTCAATTATGTCAGTTATATTGCTCTAGAAGATGAACCTGTTGGTTATAACCTTGAGTGACCTCCTTCAATAATTATCAACATTAAAAAATTGATCGAAATTCTTCTCTCTAGAAAATACGAAATTTAGGAAAAATGAATAATCATTAGGGGAGTCCCTCCAAGGTCATGTAGAACATAATCATCCTTTAAAGCACCATGATTGTTATAATTGAAACCTAATCAGGCTCGCCTGGGAATGACTCGATTGGAGAAATATGATTTTGAAAAAAGAAATACTTCTCTCAAGTAAATGAATATTTGGCAAAAATATTTTCTTATCTCAGTGTAGGAGACTTGAGGACGAGAATTTTCATCACGATTCCTCAATGCGAATAAAAAAAAATAGTGATAATAGGGCTGACACCTGCGCGATAACTGAGTCACACTTGAAGGTGTGGAAATAATAGATAATAAACATGGATATAAATTCGATGCGTTCCGTGAAACTTCTAGTTATGTTATGTTATTTTTTGAAAAAATATGTCGATCGGGTCATGGAATTTTCTCACGGCGCAGCGTAAGTAGGCGGTTTAATAGTCCCATGGGGCACTTTTAATAGTCCCATCAGTGAATGCGTCGTACAATGCGAATTACTGATGAGGAATTAATGGGTTTGTGCGGTTGAAGGTGAAAAACAAAAGTTGAAATCGTCACGTTTGCTCTGTGCTTTCGCAGATAGTGAGGATCTTTCTGCTTGAATGCAAGAATTTTAGAAGTTTAAAGGCAATGAAATTGCCTCACAAATCTTTATGACAGGAGTTACGTTTTTTTTCTGACGATTTTCGTGTTTAAACGTTTTTAGTACGTTACGAGGAGCGAATGCATCCAGAATGTCGCCCAATTCTAGAGACGGAGTGACGAAGAATGACGTTGTGAATGTGAAGAATCATTGCGGTGAGGATAAGGGGATGAACATTTACAAGCCTGCTGTCAAGTGGCCGGACCTCATCGTCCAAATTTTCGTTCATGCCGGATGTGCCTATGGAATTTATCTTATTTTCACCGAGGCCAAGTGGCTCACAACGCTCTGGGGTATGTTTTGACTAGAATAAATAGTGAGGTTTTACGGCCCCGCGGAGTATGATAGCACGACCGATGCCGCGGTTATCTATTGTCAGGCGACACGACATTCATGTCAAGTTCGGGGACTACAACGTCTTGAGGACACGAACATCAGGTTTTGCTCAATATCTTCGAAACGAAAGGAGATGGTAGAAATATTGTCAGAACCTTTTCTGTAGCTCTTGAAATTTCATACGAAAAATATTCCAACACCATTTTTGCTATTTTTGTTAGATTTTGAGATATTTTGCGACTACTTAATCCTTCGAGAATTTCACAAAAACGAGGCGGGTTAATTTGACTTTAGTTTTTGGTGAATATCTGCGAATTGAAAGGAGATGGTAGAAATATTGTTAAAACCGTTTCTAAAGCTCTTGAAATTTTCTACGAAAAAGGTTTTAATACTATTTTTGCTATTTCTATTAGATTTGGAGATATTTTGCGACAACTTAATCCTTTGAGAATTTCAGAAAATCGTGGCGGGTTAATTTGACTCCAGTTTTCGGTGAATATCTCCGAATTGAAAGGAGATAGCGGAAATATTGTTAAGACCTTGTTTGAGATTGAAGCTAAATTGAGATGCCGGTTGGGGAAAAGTGGGATTGTGAAAGGAGGTGGAAAATTAAAACACGCGGAATTATAAAACCACACTGTTGATGTACTTTATTGTGGAATAACCCACGCGTCTTGATAAATTAATAATGTTACACTATTGAGTTGCTCGACAAAGTCAATAAAAATGATGGTTTGAAAAATGCACTGCACTTGAGATTCTCTCGATATTGAACTTGATGATTGACTCAAAATAATTGATAGTTAACTCGGAATTAATTGATAATTGAATTGAATTAAATAGAGACGCTATACAAAGCGCTAGACTCAAATGTATCGCGTTGATGTACTCCGGTGATGTACTCGATTGAGCGGTTACGGCGATACAGTACTGTGATTAGAGTGACTCTCTCGGTGGCTAGAGCGATACTACAGACTTTTTCGGGGATTTTCTTCGTAGCTGAATATGACCCCGAAGGGTCCCAAAGTTTCTCGAGATTTTCGTTGAGCCCGGTGACCGTTTGACTAGTTTGAATAGCTGAATTTCAAAAAGACCTTTTCTACAGCTCTTGAAATTTCCTACAAAAAAGGTTGAGACACTAATCTCTCTATCTCTATTAGATTCCGAGATATCCACCAAAAACTCAACTCTCCGGACAATTGGCTTTCATAATTTCGCGTGAATTTGCATCGAACATTGAATTAATTGGCATAACAGAGCTCCGTATACCAGAAAAAACTAATTCCCGTGTTCTGACGTTCAACAGTCGCCATAAAATCCTGAATAGACTTCTCATTAAACCATCAACAACATCGGAAATCAATATCTAACGGGTTCACCTCACGTGTTCGCACGATTTGCATTGAAACTGATTTCAAATAATGGAATCATGGGGTTTGCCCCTCGGAGTGGGTCACACCACCCGACGAGAGTGAATTATCTCGACATTTCTTCGCAAAGTAGAAGAAAATAAAAATAATCCGTCTTTAAAACTCAAAAATAATTGTAAAAATTACAAAAATAATCCGCAATTTTTATTTTCATTTTCATGATATTTTTTCAAGCTTCAAAATAAAATTTGACTCATCAAAATCGCGTCATTGGGTCACACGATATCAATGAATAATCAAGTTTATTTCTCCGCGCCGTCTCTCACAATAGGATAAAACGGAGAATTCAATGTGCTGGAGAGGTTTTTCAAATAAAAATGAATGAGCTGACGATTACGTGACTCCGCCTTATCATAAAAGCCTTATCGAAAAGTTAAATCAATAGTCGTGATAAATCCCACGTAATCCACGTGAGATTGTACTCTTCGATTTTCTATTTTTCCAGCTTTGATAACAATTTACACATCAGCCTTCGGAATCACTGCTGGAGCTCACAGATTGTGGTCTCACCGGGCGTACAAGGCGACGTGGCCCCTGCGACTGATTCTCGTGTTATTATTCACGATAACAGGGCAGGTACCTCAGAACCTCCAGCACGTCACGCATGAAAAAATTTTGGAGAAAAAAATTCGATTGAATTTCTGTTGGAACTCGATGCGAATTCCATTGGAGTTCTGTTAAAATTTTATTACAAAATTGTATTGCTTCCGAATGAAAGTAATGCATTCAATTTAATACAATTACGTGAATATAATTTATTCATATCATTATCTGGTTTTTTAACGAAATCATTTTATGATTAATGATTATATGATTTTTTAAAAATCGGGTGTCCTCCCATAACTCAACAAATTTTCTGAATTCATTGAATGATGGCTTGAAAAAATTCTTTGGATGTCTCTTCGACCGAGTTAGAAGATGAAGGCGATAGCTGTAATCGTTGTTTTGATTTTTAGAATAATTTTCAAAAATTTTGGATTCATATTTATAAAAATTACAATTCCGAGGATATCTTTGGATATCATGCTCTAAATTCATTCAATGACAGCTGAAAATATTAGTTTCATAGCCACTCTGTCGAAGTTAAAAGATCGTTACGATACCTATATTCGTTGGTTTGATTTTTATGATGATTATTGTAAATTTAGAATTTTTCGTGAATTGCTCTGAAAGTGAACTTTCTGATGGTTTCTTCAAATATGATGTTTCAAATTCATTTCATAATATAGATAGCATCATTCTTCCAATCGATTTATAAGNCAATATCTAACGGGTTCACCTCACGTGTTCGCACGATTTGCATTGAAACTGATTTCAAATAATGGAATCATGGGGTTTGCCCCTCGGAGTGGGTCACACCACCCGACGAGAGTGAATTATCTCGACATTTCTTCGCAAAGTAGAAGAAAATAAAAATAATCCGTCTTTAAAACTCAAAAATAATTGTAAAAATTACAAAAATAATCCGCAATTTTTATTTTCATTTTCATGATATTTTTTCAAGCTTCAAAATAAAATTTGACTCATCAAAATCGCGTCATTGGGTCACACGATATCAATGAATAATCAAGTTTATTTCTCCGCGCCGTCTCTCACAATAGGATAAAACGGAGAATTCAATGTGCTGGAGAGGTTTTTCAAATAAAAATGAATGAGCTGACGATTACGTGACTCCGCCTTATCATAAAAGCCTTATCGAAAAGTTAAATCAATAGTCGTGATAAATCCCACGTAATCCACGTGAGATTGTACTCTTCGATTTTCTATTTTTCCAGCTTTGATAACAATTTACACATCAGCCTTCGGAATCACTGCTGGAGCTCACAGATTGTGGTCTCACCGGGCGTACAAGGCGACGTGGCCCCTGCGACTGATTCTCGTGTTATTATTCACGATAACAGGGCAGGTACCTCAGAACCTCCAGCACGTCACGCATGAAAAAATTTTGGAGAAAAAAATTCGATTGAATTTCTGTTGGAACTCGATGCGAATTCCATTGGAGTTCTGTTAAAATTTTATTACAAAATTGTATTGCTTCCGAATGAAAGTAATGCATTCAATTTAATACAATTACGTGAATATAATTTATTCATATCATTATCTGGTTTTTTAACGAAATCATTTTATGATTAATGATTATATGATTTTTTAAAAATCGGGTGTCCTCCCATAACTCAACAAATTTTCTGAATTCATTGAATGATGGCTTGAAAAAATTCTTTGGATGTCTCTTCGACCGAGTTAGAAGATGAAGGCGATAGCTGTAATCGTTGTTTTGATTTTTAGAATAATTTTCAAAAATTTTGGATTTTATAAAAATTACAATTCCGAGGATATCTTTGGATATCATGCTCTAAATTCATTCAATGACAGCTGAAAATATTAGTTTCATAGCCACTCTGTCGAAGTTAAAAGATCGTTACGATACCTATATTCGTTGGTTTGATTTTTATGATGATTATTGTAAATTTAGAATTTTTCGTGAATTGCTCTGAAAGTGAACTTTCTGATGGTTTCTTCAAATATGATGTTTCAAATTCATTTCATAATATAGATAGCATCATTCTTCCAATCGATTTATAAGAGAATTTCGGAAATTATTCTCATAGCATTTAAAAGTTTGTTGATTTTCCATCTTTTGGAAAATTTACTTCCACTGATTATTTGAATAAAAAAAAGAAAGGTTTAAATTGATTCAATTATCGTTAAAACGACCTACTTCGACTTCACTTTCATGGAATAAATGGATGGTATAGATATATATAATTTCACATTTGAAATTTCATCAAATATTAAACTAAATTGAAAATATAACACAATTGATTAAAGAAGAAATTTCATTGAATTTTATAAAGTGATGAGTAACCATTAATTTCCTGTTTATTTTTTCGACAATTCAATTATTTCCTTGAGAAATCTTTGATAAAAAAATCCAATGGATTTTTATTCACCAATGCCAATTCTCGGGCATAATTTTCCTGTATTTTTATTTTTTTCCTCTAATAAAATCAACAACAAAAAATCGCAAATTCGAAAATTTATGTCAAAAAATTCTTATAGAACTCCAACAGAAATTCATTAGAATTTCTCGTAGAAAGTGCTAGCATTCTCTATTGAATTTCCTTCATGCGTGTACTCAATGTCCCCGCAGAATGAAATCTACTAAAAATCAATTATCCATTATTACCAACAGAGGCACGTGTACGCATGGGCTCTAGACCACAGGGTCCACCACAAATACAGTGAGACTGATTCTGACCCACACAATGCGAAACGCGGTTTCTTCTTCGCTCATGTCGGCTGGCTCTTCACAACTCCTCATCCCGATGTCGAGGAGAAGCGAGCGGCTGTCGACATGAGCGATCTGGAGGCCGATGCTATTGTCATGTGGCAGAAGAAATATTACATTCCACTTTTCGCCCTTCTTGCCATTGGCTTTCCAGTCTGGGTGCCCTGCTACCTCTGGAATGAAACCCTCTGGACTTCGTTCTGGATCAACTTCAATTTCCGCTTCTGCGTTACGCTTAATCTTGCATTCTTCGTTAATAGTGTCGCCCATATGTGGGGTCAGAGGCCGTATGACAAGTAAGGAGGAGGACTTCCTCGTGATAATTTTTATGGATAAATTTTCATTCGTGATGTTTGTATTTGTTTATGCATTTTGAGATTAGACGTGGGGGTTCGCGGGCATTTTTTGGAAATTATGGCCTTGAAATTGAGGAAAAACAACGTCTACATAAATTTTGCTGTTTTTCTTGGTTGAGGAATATTTACAAAAAAAATTATCTGGTAAAATCCTCTTATTTTGATTCTTCTCTAAATGAAACTCTCTTTTTTGCATGATTTCTCAAAATCTGGAGGAGACAGCGACATTTTTGACGAGAGCTTTTTCCTAGCTCTTGAAATTTTCTATAAAAAATATTTAAACACGAATTCCTCTATCTCGCTTAGGTTTCAAAATATTTCCAAAAAACTGATCGATTAAACTCAATTTTTTTTGTTTTACAACTTAAGAATGGAATTCTTCATCAGTAGAATAAAATTATTATTTTCTGTGAAGTCATGCACTTTCTGGGTTCTTCAAATTTCTTATGAAAAATATCTTGACATAAATTTCACTATTTTCCTTTGATTCAGATATTTACAAAAAAAATCTGCAGAAGTAAAATCGTCTTATTTCCATTTTTTAAAATTTCTCTATTTATTTGTGTGATTTCTTCAAATCTGAAAGAAATAGCGAAATTTTTGGCTAGACCTTTTTCCTAGCTCTTGAAATTTCCTACAAAAAATATCGAAACATAAATTCTTCTATCTGCCTTAGATTTCAAGATATTTCCAAAAAACAGAGAATCCTTCATCAATAGAAGAAGATTATTATTATTTTCCCTGAAGTCATGATGTTTCCGGGTTCCCGAAATTTCCTATGAAAATATCTTAACATGAATTTCGCTATTCTCCTTTGATTCAGGGAAATTAAAAAAAAACTATACAGAGGTAATCGTCTTATTTTCATTTCTCTAAATTAAACTCAGCCTTCTTGCTAAATATCTCCAATTCTGAAACATACAGCGAATTTTTTGATAAGACACTTTTTCCAGCTCTTGAAATTCCCTACAAAAAACATCTTAACACAAACTCCTCTATCTCCCTGACATTTCAAGATATTTCCAAAAAACTGATCAACAAAGCATCATTTTTCCTGTTTCACCACTCACCAACAAAATTCTTCATGAATTAAAAATGATCATTACGTAATGGCATGAATTAATGAGTTAAATCCCCTCCAGACACATTTCTCCAGTGGAGAATATTGCCGTATCGATAGCAGCTCTGGGCGAAGGCTGGCACAATTACCACCACGTATTTCCATGGGATTACAAGACCGGTGAGCTAGGTGATTACTCATTCAACATAACAACTGGTTTTATCGATGCATTTGCGCACATCGGATGGGCATACGATCGTAAATACGTATTACCGGAAATGGTGCGGAGGCGGGCGAAAAGATCGGGCGATGGATCTCACGTACCGAATGTCTGGGGATACGGTGACACTGACATACTCCAAGAGGAGGTGCACGAGTTGGAGGCGATGAGGGACTCCAAGTGCCATTGATTGAGAACAATCCAAATATTAGAGTTAAATTCGTGTTCAGTTTGAAATTTTTGTACTTAGTGAAGTATTAATATTGATTTCCACGGTAATTTCAGGATTTCTCTGAGGAAATAACGGAAATTTCTTTGGATTGAACGCCAGCAGTATTCAACACTCAGAATGAGAATTTTCCATATTTTTAACATCTTTGTATTTTCATTTTTATGATTAAAAATTTTGTGGGCAATTGTTTAATCGATTATTGCCAATGTCCATCGGTATTCTAGTTCAATGACCTTTTCCCTCGACAGGTTGTCATTGAAAATTACGTCACTGGGAAGTAATGTATTCTGACGCAATGGAAAACTATTTTTAATAGTAATTTTAAGTCAATTATTTTGAATTCTTCAATTTTATTTATTTATTCAGTTGCGTTTCCTGCAACTGAAGTGAAATAGTATTTAGTGGTTTATTCAGCTATTCGATTATTTCTTTTGCATTGTTTATAAAAAATATGTAGAAAAAATTGATATTTTCTATATATAAAAGATAGAAATCATTTGATCTTTCAAAAACGAGGCATTTTCAATCGTTAATAACTTTATATTGGCAGATGGAAAATCGTCAATTTTGTTTTTCATTTTCAAAATATTTTTTCATGTTCAAACTGTTCAAAATGAAATTTCACTCATCGAAATTGTATCATTTGTTCACGAGGTATTGAGGATTTGAGACGATCAAGTTTATTTGGTAGCATAAAATGATGATAATTGACCGTTCAAATGAGAATTAATAACAACTCTTTTTCGTAAATTATAATAATAGTTATATTTAAAGTTGGATCACAATAATTTCCATTGAAAATTACGTCACTGGAAAGTCATGTATTATGACGCAATGGAAAACTATTTTTAATATTAATTTCAAGTGGATAATTTTGCACTCAATTTTATTTATTTATTCATGTTTCTTGGAATTGCAGTAAAATATTATTTAGTGGTTTGTTTAACTATTCGACTTTCATGCAATATTTCATGTATAAAAAATCCAAATCATTTCATCTTCCATTCGAAGAATGAAAAATGAAATAAAGGAGAGAAGGGTCAAACGGGACATTTTCAATCATTAATAATTTTCCATTAATCGTTAATTTTTTCTTCATTTTCAAGATATTTTTTCAATCTTCAAAATGAAATTTGACTCATCTAAATCGTATCATTTATTCACGAGACATTGAGAATTTGAGACGATCAAGTTTATTTGGGACCATAAAATGATAATAATAGACCATTCAAATGACAAACAATAGCAATTATTTTCCGTAAATTATAACAATAGTTATATTTTAACTTTGACCACACCAATCTCCCGAACTAGGCCCATCGGATCCCCCCAATCCCCCCATTAATTCACTGAAATCAGAATACGAAGAGGAAATGACACTCACAAAGTCATCAAGTCTAGATTTAATGAAATTCCTTGGTGAGGGTCGTGCCTGGGGTCAATGAGAATTCGAAAAATAATGACCAGTAACTTCGCCAGTCTCCCCCAGACCTCAATCCCGAGTGCAGGTAAGACGTACCTCCTTAAAAAAAAAAGTTTCCTGGGTGTGAATCAGAAGTGAATCGGAGTGTGTGCAGTAATTTATTTCCAAAAAAATGGAGAAGGAATCGTCGGATAAACGCGAGACCCAGTGGCTCTATGTGCTCTGGTACATCCACCTTTACATATTGGGAACTTACGGAATTTACAAGTTGGCTGACGCCACGTGGCTCACGTTCTTCTTCGGTAAAAAATTTAATTGTCAATGAAAAATTATGCAAAAGCTAATGTTGAAAATGGTTTGTAGCTGTTTTCATAGTGTCGATGGGGGCACTGGGGATAACAGTGGGGGCTCATCGCCACTGGGCGCATCAGTCTTTCGAGGCTCATTGGTTCATAAAACTGTGGTTTATGATTTTTCACACTCTGGCAGGTGTTGTGAGTATGAAAAAAAGATTTACATCGCGAGAATTAATGGGATTATTTCACTAGACATCTTGCTTAATTCGAAAAGATTGTGAAATGGGTTATGAATGATGAATTCAGATATTAATGGCTTTTTTTATTCAGTATTCAGTTTTAATATTGATATTGACGAAACGAGAATCAATGGCTTAATTTGAGCCAGCGCAATTGAAATTTAAAGTATTATGACATATTCGAAATCATTTTAAAATATTTTAGAGGAGATTAATATTCTTTGGGATCGAACGAAGGAATAATTTATGAGTTTAAGCCATCACCCGCACGGAAAAATTTATATTTTGAAAAATGTATAAAAAAATATCTTAAATTGGCCCAATTTCTATAAGAAAAATATACGAAACATGTATTTTATATATATTTTTTATATATCTTTTATAAATTTGACAAATATATGAAATTGGCCCATATTATATATTTTTTAAATATATTTTTTAATGAGGGCGTTTATAAACAATTTTAAGCTATTCAATTTTTTTTTAAATAACTCACAAAAGATGTTCAAACATTTTTAATTTTATAAAATTAATCCTCAAATTTGCGTCAAGACAAAACATTGAAAAAAGTCTTTGATGCAGACATTTATGTCTTCATTCAAGTCATTAAATTCTGATATCTACAGGGACCAATCTACGACTGGGTCCTCGCGCACAGAATCCACCACAAGTTTTACGGAACGGAAAAGGACCCCTACAATCACAACAGAGGCTTCCTCTACAGTCATCTGATGGTGAATCTCATGAGCAATCCCGAGAATTACGAGCAGACAGCCAAACTGATTGACATGAGGGACATCGAGTCTGACGGAATAGTCTGGGTCCAAAGAAAGTACGATACAGTAGACTCCCGTTATAGTCGCACTCACGGGGGAATAGGGGAAGCGAATTCGGAGTATGCGACTGGATTTCGCTACCCCCACTACGCCCTCACGCACCAAATGAAAATACTGAGGATTTAATTTTCGTTTTATTGACTTTAACGCTTTATTAAATAATTTAAATCATTACTTTAACATTTCCATGCACATTTAATCAACTTTTTTATATAATCAACCGATTTTTCTGTCAAGAACCTTTTTTTCTTATCAAAGTGATTTTGGTCTTCTAATTTCACTTGTAAAATGACCTCAATTTTTTTTTTCATTTTTCTGTTGACAATCGAACTGCTAGGTTCTTTATTCTGATTCATTATCTAATTCACCTGATTAACTGATTTGTCAATGAAGAAATATACAGAAATTTCACGTAACTTTTTCGTTCCCAAAAATTTCAAGCTTTTTCAGTTGAAGTTTCAAGCTTAATTTTATGACAGTGTACATGTATATTTAATTCCATGATTTTTCACCAACGATTTCCTATACTTTGCAGAGCAATATTTCTTTTTCTCAAATGATAAAAATTATGCAATTGCCAATTTATCGGCAACGGCCATAATTAGACGCCAAATTGAAAAATCGACATTGAAAATCGATCATTTGGCGGCAAGTCGTCCAATCTGCCAGCCCTGATTCCATTTACAGTGGATACTCCCTTCGCTTCTCTAAGATTTCAGGTGGGGAAGTTGACTTCCCCCACCATTAACAATCTAAGCGTGTGTAAGTGGTGTGTGGGCTCCTCTGCGCGCCAAGCGTGCGCAGTAGGACCACTGGCGGTCTGGCAGGATTGGAACAGACAGATTCTCTCTCTCTCTCTCTGTTCCTCTTCCCCCTCAGTCCAACCGCGGGCGCATGAGTAGGGGCTTCTCGATCACTTAAATTCAGGAAATTCATACCCCCGCAGCTAAAATCTTAGAGAGTATCCACTGTATTCTGCGCATCGAAAACGAATGTCTGAATTTCACACACCTTTTGTAGACATTTATTCAGACACTAAAAAACGTCTGAATAAAATGGGAATTTGTCTGAATTTCAAACATGAGATAACATGCTTGGGCACCTGTTCGTCTGAAATTCAGACACATTTTCATTCCATTCAGACATCTTTAATGTCTGAAAAATGTCTGCAAAAGGTGTGTGAAATTCAGACATTCGTTTTTTCTGTGACCGCAATTTCCTCGAATGAAGTTTTATACTTGACGATCTTGCAGGTTCTACTGGCCCCTCTTCATCGTGATTGGCCTCCTCCTACCAATAAATGCACCAGCCGAGTACTGGGGTGAATCAATATCAAATTCAGTATTTGTCCTCGGATTTTTACGACTAGCAATTCTGGTGAACATCTCATTCCTAGTCAACAGTGCAATGCACATTTGGGGACTCAAACTAACAGACAAGTTAATATCAGTATTCGATACATATTCATTGATATTTAAACTATTTATCTATCGTCCGAGGAGTCATGGTAATGTAGCCATCGACAAAGAGGGAATATATACTCAACTATAAATTGTCATGTGCAATAATTACTGAATAAATATCTTGAATGATGTAATTGCTATCACATTTTTTTTCTAGATTTCCACCAGACGACAATCTAGTATTTTTACTCAATAGATCATTCTGGTTAAATTACCACTATCTCCTACCCTGGGACTGGAGAACCGACGAATTCGGTGGTTACGACACAGGCGCAACTTGTTTTACAATAAAATGCCTGAATGAACTTGGATTGATTAATAATCTGAAGACATCGTCGAGTGATCTGATAAGGGATGCCCTCTACAAAGCGGCGACCAGTAAAAAATCGACCGCTGAAATATTAGATGAGCTGAAAAAAGCTGCTGAATACGAAACTGCCAGGATCAATCTTCATTACCACCACTGATCGTCATGAGAACGATTGCAGAGTTGGAAGCGACGATCAAACAATTTTAATGCTAAATATTAATTAACTTATGCTCTAGGATAATTAGTTTGCATTAAAGTGTATTTATTCTACCACTGTAACATCATCACGATCATTTCAATGAAAACGTCCATAAAAAATGTAGAAAAATCGTTGAGAGATAATACATTATTATTTGACATCGAGAAAAATTGTTTTTTATTCCTTTAATGGAAATGCTAACAGGAGTGAAGAGGTAGTTGTATTGATTAATGAATAACGTCTCTAAAAATATAATTTTATTCATTATTTATTAAACTTGAATCACTCTTTATTTTATTTAGTTTCAAATATTCACTTGTTCAATCAGCAGACTTATGTAGTCTTATTCCCGTCTTTAACTTACATTATACTTTACCACATGTCAACCCGTTAGCCTAAGTTAACGTAGCGACCCTCTTGCATCAAGTTCTCAAAGATTTCGCGACCAGCACGAAGTCGCAAAACTCACAATCACCCATTCAATACTCTTCATTTGTCATGCAAACTCCCATTTTAAATTCACTCAGTCGAAATAATAGTTATGGACCCCTATTGTTGACCTGGACGGTGAAGCGACAACGAAAAAACAAATATTCAGATGTTATTTAAGAGAGAAATATCCCAGCAGCTCCTACAAGCGTAATAAATTGCAATTGGGACGGCCAAGTGTCTGGTAAAACTCTACCATTAAAAAAAAATAATATCAGTAAGCAATAAGTGATTAATGATAATACGAAATAAGTAGAAGAGGTTCGATGAGGGGTGAAGCTCTCCGCGAGTGTCGCATTGAAACTTAGACTCGAGTAATCGATGAAAAAGTGAAATTATTTGAAACATAATTGGGCTAATGTACATTTGCAGTGGATTCCTGATCGTTAACGTGATACTCGATTATAGCGGCTTCTCGCTCCTCAGACGGCTGATCCTTGTCCCCCCAGCCCCAGACCTCGTGACTGCCATCACCTGTTCTCTTCACTCTCTGCTTGATTATCTCTGATGAGACTCGTTTGAGATCGTACGCCCAGCCGATTTTAGCGAAAAAGTCGATGAATGCTGTTGTGAAATTGAGCCTGTAGTTACCGAGCTCGGCTGCTTTGTAATCCCAGGGGAATACGTGGTGGTAGTTGTGCCAGCCTTCACCCAGAGCTGCCACTGCCACTGACACATTCTCCGCGGGATTCATGAATCTGGAGGAAAATTAATTCAAAGAAATAATTAGAGATTGGGGAAAGGGGTTTGTGACGTGATGAATTAATGGGTTAAGTTTGTTACCTGTCGTAAGGTTTGCCACCGAATATGTGCGCGGCGGAATTGACGAGCCACGTCATGTTGAGGGTGAATGCGTAACGCAGCATCGTTGGAACGAAGAATGCGTTTGCCCATGTTTCATCCCAGAGGTAAACTGGAATTACTGTTGGGAGGATAAATGCCATGAGTGGCATCAACACGAGATAGTATCTGAAATTAATTAAATTGAATAAATTAATCTGTGATTTAATTCATGAGGGGATTTTTAAAACAGAAAAGTTCATTTCAGTCAGACTTTATGGCATTTTTTTTTCGTTTCATCGGTGCAATAAAGTGAGAATTCATTTATTTTAATTCGTTTAGTCAAGGTTGGGACAATGTTGGGGCAATGTTGGCTGCCAACGTTGGGGCAGTGTCGGCGGCCAACGTTGGGGCAGTGTCGGCTGCCAACGTTGAGCAATGATGACTACCCACGTTGGGGCAATATCGTTTACCAACGTCGGCGCAATGTTGGCAGCCAACATTGGTGTAATATTGAATTCAATGAACTATTGAATCCAATTTAAAATACATTACAAAAATTTCGTTTCAAGCAAATTCTTAATTTATTAAAAAAAAGATATTGACTGTATTGTGACGTCAAATTGAAACTCACCTCCTTTGAAAAGCGACAATGGGATCTTTCATGAGATCACTCGTGTCCACACCCTTGCCCTTATCCTTGACATCAGGATGCTTTTTACAGAGTAGCCATCCCACATGTGCGAAGAAGAATCCCCTAGCTGCATTGTGAGGATCAGCATCAGTCTCACTGTATTTGTGATGCACCCGGTGATCTCTGGACCACTCGTATATTGAATTTTGGAATGCGATTGTATTGAACACCATGAGAATACACCGAAGAGGGAAATTTGCTTTGTAGGAACGGTGGGACCAGAGCCTGTGGACCCCAGCGGTTATTCCTAATCCAGAGCACACGTACAGTACGTAAGCTGCAGAAGAAAAAAAATGAAAAAATCATTTTGAGAATGGAAGATGGGAAGTTCTCCGGGTTATGGAGGCTGGCGTTACGCCAAACCTCAACAAGTTGTTTCGAAATTATTCTTGTGGCCCTTACGTGCCTGTTGAATGAGACCTTGACCGTCAATTTAGGGTAGCACTAGTGAGTCAAGGGCAAAGTGGACCGTTTTTAATCGTGAATAATTCAATATCCGCAGAGTGAATTTTCGCAATTTTTTATTTATTTTGAAGGTATTTTTTCAGGCCTTAAAATGAGCCCTGACTTATCGAAATCGGATCGTTTGTTCAACAGATATCGATGGTTTAAGGAGATACCGTTTATATCATCTTCCACAAGTAGATGACATGGAGGTTTTTTCAATTGTTAATATCTCGAAATTCAGAGTGAAAATTAATTTTTTTTTCATTTTGAAGGTTTTTTTTTCATCTTTAAAATGAGCCCTGATTTATCGAAATTGCATCATTTTATTGGGAGATATTTGTCTTTTAATATTGGTAATTGGGAGTAATTTCATAAAAACAAGTTGATGAATTTTATGATTTTGAGTTATAAAAATAAATGGATTATTCAACTTACCGAACAACGCCGTGACAAGTTTAGCGGACGTAAATACCCGATACAATCCATAAAGTGCAGCAATGTGAAGTGCCACGAAAACAGTGACATTGAACCAAACAATTCTGCGTTGATACTTGGCCTTAGGTTTATCAGCCACCGAATTTGATTCACTAATTTCATTCTGATAGAGTACACCCGTGGGCGCGGATGTTACATTAGGTGCCATCGTGCTGTCGTGCAATACAGACTACTGGAAAATAAATCAATGGCAATTCGTTTAAGTAACCAAGACGAAGTGATAAAGAAGTGTTGATAAAACAAAGTGGGAGAGAACATCATGCATTTTCATGCATGCATGGGAGATAATTCTGAGTTTAGGCTTTATCAGATTGTTCATAAAACAAAGTGGGAGAGAACATCATGCATTTTCATGCATGCATGGGAGATAATTCTGAGTTCAGGCTTTATCAGAGTGTTCTGACACTGCAGTGGAGAGTTATCACGATCTGCGATGTGTGAAATCACCGCATCACGCCATAATCTAGCGGAAGTGTTTGATATGAGCAATGAAATTTAAAGCGGAACATTTACGATATTGCTAAGGTACTGATAATGCATTTTAACTTTTTTTTATCCAGTCAAGTGGCTGTCTACTTTTGCAGGCGAATATCAGAGCTTTAATTTGAGCCCTATTTGATGAAATAATTAAAAAATTGCAATTTTTAAAAATTACGAAGTTTTTTATCAATAATTTATAAACAATCAATTTTCAATCAATTATTTCTAGGGAAATGAAATTTCCGATTGTTTAAACAATTTAAATTATTTATTTATAAGTAACGAATGTTTTAAAAAATAGTAATTCGGTACAAAATGTAATTTGAATGACTCTGAATATTGATAATTTTTTTCAAAGTTTTTTCAAACTTGAATTGACAAATTTGATGATTGAAAATGGTTGAGTCTATAGTGTGGTCATTTTACAATAATTTTATTATTTAAACATTGCAAGTCTGAATTTTAATCTCAATATTGAGTTGTTAGAAAACATTTTAAAAATCTGAAATAAAAATGAAAGAGTTTAGTTTTGGAGAAAGATTGATGAAATGATAAAAAATTCCAATTTTAAGAAATGACCAGCATTGTTATAAATAAGTTATAAACAATCAATTTTTTACCATAAAAATCATTCGTTCGGAATCGTGACAAATTTATTCATATTCAGAATTTAACAAGAGATAGATTTCATGCCTAAGAAAATAAAATTTCCGATTGTTTAAACAATTTCAATTATTTATTTATAGATAACGAGTGTTTTAAAAAATAATAATTCTCTGCAAACGATAATTTGAATGACGCTGATGGATATCCTCAATTATCGATGAATCCGTCTTTATAAAAAAAAGTGTTAAAGGATTTTCAACAGCAAAGATAAACTAAATTAACGAAAATACGTAAATCAATGCCTGAATAAAAAAAACGCAAAACGTAATAATGAAATGAATTCATAAATGAATTCATAGGATGGAATGATACCACATTTTACGTGCCCCGTAATTATTATTTGACGTCTTTAATCTCTCCTATCATCATAAAAAATGGCCATTGGAATATTCACGACATCGTAAAAATTCTCATAACGCATTTTTAATTGACGACGAATACGTCTCTATGAAAAGAAAGTGTCAACGGATTTTTATAGTCGTATTGGAATATTCAGCGCACAAGCACTCGGTGCATGAGTGGATAAATTTAACAAATATACGATTTATAAATTCTTCTTCTATTCCAAATGGCTTTATCCGCAAACACTGTTAGGGGCAAGTGCCAACAGCTTTATAAATTGATGGATAACAGCATAATAAATTAATTTAAACGAAAATACCCGAGGCAATGCCTAAATAAAAAAAATAGCAAAAAGTCATAACCAAATAAAGTCATAAACGAATTCATAGAATACTATGATATCACATTTCACGTGCCCCATAATTGTCATAATTTTATTGACAACAGAATGAAAAAAATAAACAGACAAAACACGAATAAAAAAGTCCATTTTATCTGATTCATTTTATGGAATTTATCAATTAACGGCAATAGCATAATAAATTAAATCACCAAAAATATCTAGAATTAATTCCCGAATTTTTGTATTCAACTTTAACTAAATTATATTATATTCTTCTAGGAAATGCCTACTCGCATCCTCTTGCTAGAAGAGAGCTCTATTGTATATATACTCTCATAAAGCAATAAATAAATAAAAATTCCGAATCAAAAAAATTGCAAAAACTAATGAAATAAATTAATAGAATATTATAATATCGCGGGGCAAATGCTGTCAAAAGTAAAATAAAATTCTGAGTAAATTTCACGTACCCTATATTTTGTGAAACAATCCAATATCGCACGAATCGCCTTATCCTACAACGCAATAAGCCTCGATCTCATCGCAAAAACATTGCAAATTTGAGATGCACAAATCTTCAGATAACAGCATCAAAACAATGGTTGAATAATAAAAATCTCCGAATGTCACGCGATGAATATTATCCAACGAAATTTATGGATCACGTGGAGGCACGTAATGTCCACCGGAGGGTTCTGGAAATTGTCCACGACCTTGATAACAAGGATCACATCGCAATGCCAAAATCTCCCATAAAGTAAAAACGAAAAAAACTAGAATAACAAATGAAAAAAACTAGAATAACGAGTCCGACTGAAACTCGCGACTGAGCGTTCGGTGGGAATTATAAAAAAATTGTTCCCTTTGTTTTTGTTTTTTTTTTCTTTTCTGTGAGGCTCTAACAACAATCAGTTCTTCACGGTGACGACCTATCGACTGCCAGGGCAGATCCTGTGGACTAGTGAGAGCGCAGACTCACCCAACCGGGAGATAGGGTTCCTGTCCTCCCGTCTCATTAGCCCTCTCTTGTTATCAACGACCCTTTCATTCACTTCTTCACTTCCCCTCTCACACATGAGTTAATGAAAAAGAATTTAGTGGGGCTTGAATTGGTCTACTGACGGATTTTAACGCATATTTGCATATTGAATGATGTTTTGAGGATGAAAATTAAACATATTTAATAACAACTAGCGATTTATTAACATAAATCGCTAGTTGTTTTTTTGGAAAAAAAATTGGAAAGAAAAAATAAATTATCATTACATTATATTGTATTATATTAATTTATTTTATTGTTTTCTTTCCAATTTTTCTTTGCGGTTAGATTAAATCAAATTTATTGGCTTCTATTCCCATTGTAGTATACAAATTGTGGGGACAGTTTTTCTCATTTTCAAATGAAGAGATATTTATGTTAAATAATATCAGTATAATATAATAATTCCTCTTAATGAAATCAGATTATGAACATGAAATTTTTTGTTTTCATGGTCTGATTCCATTGACAGGAAATGAGAAAAATGCAGGGAGAGATAATCCACAAGAAAATAAAAGAACGATTTTTTATTTTTCTGAAAAATTTCAAAACTGATTTTTTTTTAAATGACGAAAAAATATCAATATGTTCCCTTTCTATGATCTAATTTCAATGAAAGAAAGTGAAAAAAAGAACAGAAATACGTGATCAGCAAGAAAATAACAATTTTGATTTTTCAATGTCTCTGGAAAGTTTTAAAATTGATATCTTTTTTCAAATAATGAAAGAATACCCATCAATTTAATTCAATTCTACACTCAAATTTTGATAGAATACATAAAAAAAATAGCAAAGAATAAAAATCGGAGATGAAAAATTTTTTCGGATTAATATAATTTAATTTCATAATTCTATATTCGTTGATAATAAAAAATGAATTAGATGAATTCAATTAATTGATATTTTATTCAATTATTTTTTTGTTGAATATAAAAATTTGATGAAAGATGATTCTAGAAAAGAAATGGTATATTGCAGGATTCTAAATGCAAATTTGCGTATTAAATAATGTTTTAATGATAAAAAATTAAAATTGAATTAAATATTATTCAATAAAATAAGAACTCAGTTATACTGAGTGGATAGCCATGTGTGAAAAGGCTCAGACTGGAAACCTAAGGGTCGTGGGTTCAAAGGCCACTTCCGGCGATCTTTCGCATTTTCCCAAATTGATTGATAATGCACATTTCGGCCAACATAAACGACGAAATAAAAGAAGATGCAAATAACTCATTTAACAAAGTGATTGATTTAATATAATTTTTTTTAGATAAATATGAAAATTTAGTAAAAAAAGATTCTATGAAAAAATTGATCAATTTATATATTGAATAATAATAATAAATTCTCGCTGATAACAAAACATTCAAATTTTACAGTTGCATATTAAAAAAAGATTAACTCAATGCGATTTTCTTTTGATGAATACAAAAATTTGATAAAAGACGATTCTACAGAAAAAATTTATATCTTGACGGATTCTAAAAGCATATTTGTTTTTTAAATAATATTTTGATGATAAAAAATCAAAATAGTACTTAATAATAATTCCATTACTCTTGATAATCTCAATAATAAGGAAAAATAAAACATTGGAGCATTAAATATCATTTCAATGAATAACAATTCAATGGAAAAAATTAATCTATTGACGAATTTGTCTAATAAATAACGTTTCGATGACAAAAAATTAAAATATTATTTAATAATAATTCCATTGCTCTTGAATAATAAGAAAAAATAAAACATGAAAACAGTAAATATGATTTATTAAATAACAACTAAATGAAAAAAAAAATTAAACCTAAAGCAGTCTATTGACCAATTTGCATAAACATTGACATGTTGAATAATAATAAACAATTTCACCGATAACAAAAAATTCAATTTATTTTTCTTTTGATAAATATAGAAAATTAATTTAATTTTTATTTAATAAAAAAAATAGATGAAAATTCAATTTAAATTAAATAAAAAAGATGCTACGAAAAAAATTAATCTTTTGACTAATTCTAATGCACATTTGCATCAGAAATAATATTTTCATGACAAAAAATCACAACGGCATTGAATAATAATTTCACTATTCTTCATTAATAAAGAAAAATAAAACATTAAAAAATTAAATATCATCCAATAAATAACAATTCAATAAAAAAAAACTTTTTAAAGGCTTAATGCACGTTTGCATGATGAATAATGCAAAATGGTTCGATGACAAAAAGCCAAAACAGTATTGAATAATAATTCCACTACTCTCCAATAACAAGCAAAAATAAAACATTAAAAAATTAAATATTATTCAATAAATAACAATTAAATGAAAAAAAACTGAAATGGAGTCAGTCTATCGATGGATTTATCCCCATTGACATTTCAAATAATGAAAAAAGCCCCGATAACAAACCATTATTCAACCACAACAGTCGCAACAGAATAAATAAAGAAAAAAAATACCTGTGAATTAAAATGCCAAAAATCCACTATTAATTTGCATTCGCCAGAATTAATCAGCAGTGATGATTGATAATGAATGCCGGAAGATACCTCAATACATGTGCGCTGATTTTCTCAGTTAAATAGCCACATACATCGTTGTATTACGATAGTACCTCACGCGAGCTCCACGTGACGCAACAGTGCACGCTCCGTTACATACAGATATTACACCATTTATCATCCCGTGAAAATTCCCGATTATAACTTAGCGACAATTTTTCTCACTACAACAATACGCTGATTAACATATGGAGTCAGGGTGTCTCTGTTCGTTGATAAATAATCCACGTTATGAATGGAGAAAATGATTTTTCCTTTTCCGTTATAATTTTGATGTGAACGGGAAAAAATCCGGAAAACCACTGAATAGGAATTTGTATTCTGGGTGTCACGGGACCCCGTGGCCTGCGCAGGGGCATCAGGGGATTTCAGGCGGGCCAATGGGAGAGAATCGGACGACGCTCGCACCACCTGAAACCGACGAATCCCCGTAGCCCCATCCAAACCAGCTGCTCAGAATCAGAGAAATATGTTGCGCGCGGTTGTATTAGGAAGTTCTGATAATATTCATTGACACGTGTAGAGAAAATAATCCACGCTCTGCACAAATGGTTCCGTTAGTTTCCGAGGGGGCGCTCAATTTCTTTTTTTTTTTTTTTTTTTTTTTCATTTTTCTTATCGGTGGAAAATAGAAAAACTGATGAGAAAAATCGGACGTTTAATATATGTAGTAGTTGTAAAGTTTTAGTGTCGTTAGAATGCAGAGTCACTGGCATTCGACACGCCGGCGATTGTGGATGGGTCGTATACCTGTGTGTACAGGGGCATTCCACAATCAGCTGGGCGTCAGGCGTTGAAATGAATATTTCCTCGTGGAAAAGTCTTGGCTTGGGGGGGCGAGGGGGAATGGGGGAACTTGAATCGTCGATATCTCCGGAGGGGACGGTACGATTCGGACGAGTCGGGGCTCGTTTTAAAGCTTGAAAAAATATCTTTGAAATGAAAGAAAAATCGTCCAGTTTCACTCAGCCGATCCCGAGTTATTGGGGGTGGAAAATGAATCGTTTTATTTTCTCGTTTCTATTCATATTTTTTGGTCTTTGGAATTTTTAATATCATTTTGGCTCATTTATTTTTTCATTCCGTTCCAATCTGCCAGCGATAGCTATATTCATAAATCATAATTGCCGTTAAATTTTCATGTTATCATTTAGTTAACATTACTCTTAAATTTTAATTATTTTAGTGATCATCAATTTGAATATTCAAATTATGAACTATTTTATTAATCAATAATTTAGGTGGGAAGATTGCCGATTATTTGGTCAATTGTAATCCCTTTTAAGAAATTAGAATTATTTACTCTATGGAAAATTCACAGTCCCATATCAAATATTTAATTCAGTAGCGAAGTGGTAAAAGGGTTTAAGTCGACTTATCTTCCAGTTGAGTTTTTGAAGAATATTTCCGAATCTAAGGAAAATAGCGAAATTTTTGTGATTACATTTGTTGTAGCTCTCAATCGGCTCTACAAAAAAGGTTATAACAAAAATTTTTCTATCTCTCTCAGATTCCGAGATATTCGTGTCCGTTTTACCGTTTCGCTACTGAATTCATCATCAATCGCAAATTTAAATTATTAAATCATTATTATTATTATTAATTAATAATAATTAATTATTAATTAATTAATAATTACTATTAATATACTTATAATTATTAATAATAATAATTATTATTAATTATTATTATGTTTTATTATTATTGCATGATATTAATATCATACAATTTTTATATTTTGATAAGAATATTTATTTTAGTCATTTCATATTGTTCCCCTTTATGGAATCAACGTATTGTCATGCCTGTTTATTCTCCAATTTTTGTGGCTTTAAATGTCAAAAAATCGTGAAAATAAAAAGTTTAACGTCAGAATAAAAATGAATATTTCTAATTCTCGTATTCATGCACTACAAACTAAACTCACAAGAATAATGCTCGTGTCAGTCATTCATGTATTACGATAATGATAAAAAAATAAAGCTCTTCGTAACTCCGTGGCGATAAAATACTTAAATAGTGGTTGATTCATAAAAGAATTTCGTTTGTTTGCTCGAGAGATTAATAATAGAATGCACTTTGAAAACTATCTTCGTTTCGATAATTTCCCGTGAAAAACGAAACGCTTCCTCATGTACTCAACCAAATGGTGACATTAAAGAGGAAATACAATTGTGTTTTCGTGCCGAAAATCACGAATTAGGGAGACTAATGGCAAGAGTAATTACTTTAAATCGTGTTTCCATTCAACTTCACATTCCACAATTAGCTGGGCCTCAGACATTAAAATGAATATTTGGACGAGTCAGGGCTC